TAACTAGTACTTGCTTGTCCTCAGTGCACAGAAATTAGATCAATCTGATACCATGTATATATATTTTAGAAATGATTTGGAAAATATTTGAACACCTTGTCTTAAAATATTTTAATCATCATGTTAAAATAAAACGTTCCATAATCATTTTTTTCTTTTCTTTTCTTTTTTCAATTTTTCGGAAAAAAACAAAAAATCTTCAGGAAAAAACCCGGAAAAAAAACGTTTTTTCCCCGAATTTTTCCGGTTTTTTTCCGGGCCTTCACATCTTTATGAATTCTAGATTTGGGGCGTAAGACCTTCAGCCCTTCCTGGTTATGGCAGAATACAGTTTTGGAATTGCTGAGGGGCTCAGGCATTCAGCCCTGGATTCCCTGATTCTCAATGCCTTAAACAGATATTCATCTAACTCGTTGGACTCCGACTGGGTGTTTCCAATTTGGCACAGGAGCACGCAGGCACAGATTTGTGCATCACTGGTGAGACAGAACTGTGTTTCCTTACAGGAGCGGATCACATGTTCAGGTAAGGGAACAGGGTTCTCCCCAAGAGAAGCTGTGTGTATCTGTTCCTTTGGTCGTACAGCAGGCACACTTTTCAGGCGCGATGCGCCGGTTACAATGAAGACCAAGCACAGAACTCCAGGGGGCGCAAGGATATCCCCAAAGAACAGCAGCCCCACACCTCTTTCTTATGGGGCCAGGTCTACAAAATAAAACACGTGCCTTCCCGCCACCATTTCCGCTACTTTGCTCCACTTGCCGGCAGCCAAAGAACTCCAGAAGATGAAACTGGAAATGATTCCCTCTCTCTCGTGGCCCACTCCATGGGCAAAAGAAATCTGAGCCACAGAGGCCTCATGCTCAGCACTTACCATTCATGAGCACTTTGAGCTGCTTGACATAGAACTCCGTCTCTTTCTGGGAAACGAGAGAGCATTCAGCACACTGGCGCACGGGGTCCACAAAGCACATTCGGGGCAGAGGCACTTTTTTGCTGCAGCATTTGTCGCAAAAGCACTTCCCGCATCTCCTGCAGTGGTGCTGGGGGGGGGGGGGGAGACAAAGGAAAAACTGTTTCAGCACAGTTGGAGCTTTGTGGTGGGAAAAAAACCCGATGACTGCAGTTAGAGGAGTAGGGCCACGTGACCAGAGCGGAAACCGATAAAGAGACCAGCCAGACAGAGAAAACAGCCCAATTTTGTCCAGAAAAGTGCTTGCATGACAGTTCTTCCATAGAGTTTGAGGAAGCTCCGCATTTCCAGTTTAGGATGACAGATTATAATGCACTACTCTAGGTCTCTTCTTCCCAAGGAGGCAGAACGATCAGGTCAGCTTCATCAGCGTTCGGACCCGTGTTATAGCCACTGAAGGTGGTTTCTATTTTAGCCACCGCTAAGTAGCTGTCCTTCATTTCAGGCCACCCCCCCTTTTCTGTTCTGATAAAGTATGGAAGCATTCAGGAAACTTACCTTTTCAACACTGCTGAAGTCAAATGACATTTAAGTACTAAACACTGGAACATATCAGAGGCAGTGTTCCCACTAAGCTGAGTTAGTGTGAGCTAGATCACAGTTTTTTAAGCCTCTGGCTCACACATTTTTGTCTTCGCTCAGGGAGGAGGGCTCCAGAACAAACTAATTTATGCAGCAGCCAAATCGCTCGCTCACAACTTTAATGCCAGTCGCTCACAAAGTAGGATTTTTGCTCACGAGACTTAGAGGGAGCATTGGTCAGAGGCAGAATAAAATGTGATCAGATTGATTCCCCCCCCAGAACGTTTTCCCCCCGTTTTTTCCCCTGAAGGCTTTTTGTTTTTTTCTGAAAAATTGAAAAAAGAAAAGAAAAAAAATTGATTATGGAACGTTTTATTTTAACATTATGAATAAAATATTTTAAAACAAGGTGTTCAAATATTTTCCAAATCATTTCTTATATATATATATGGTATCAGATTGATCTAATTTCTGTGCACTGAGGACAAGCAAGTCCTAGGTTACAAACTGAACTCTCCAATGCAAAAACAAGATGCATTTCTTCCTTTAGGAGGTGTGATTGTCAGAAGAAAATAAAAAAGTTTCAGTTTTTGTTTTTGCATGTGGGTGGGTATTCTGTTTGTAATAATTGTTTGGATACACTATATTTTTAATATGCTAGTTGTGATAATTTCATGCCAAGTAAAAATATCCATAGTCATATTTTATGTTCCTAAAGTAACAGAATGACTTTCAATCTAGAAAAGACGAAAGAAATGCTAATGTAGCATTTTTTTCAATTTTTCAGAAAATTTCCATTTCCCCCCAAAAAAACTCGGGGAAAAAACGGGGTTTTTTCTGAGCTTCAAAATTTCCAGAAATTTTACATCTCTAGTTGGCCCTGGTTAGTACTTGGATGGGAGACCACCACGGAAGTCTACGGTCACAATGCAGGGGCAGGCATCCCTTGCCTCGAAAACCCCACGGGGTCACCGTAACTCAGCTGTGACTTGGGCTTCACATGCATCAAGAGTACTCAGCTGCCACACGGATACGTGCACGCACACACACACGCACGCAGAGCGTGGCCTAAAGGCAAAAAAGCAAGCAGTTGGGTCAGAAGGCCATGGAACGCAGAAGGTACAGCTTGTGATATTTCTACATAAAACTCAAATGCACAGAAGCGCTGGTGCTGTGTTATCAATTATAGCCGTTATCAACGGTCTCCTTAGTTTTGTGACACTGATTTTAAGAACAAACTTGCCCTCTCTTGTGTGTTCTTTTGTTCTGTTCAAACGGCACTCACACAAGTGTTCTGGGGGGGCGGGGGGGATCCTGGCTGCTTCCCCCTTCTTGCTACACCATTCAGCAGCAGCTTCGGGGGAGCATAAGGAAATGTTGAGAGAAGACTGCAGAAATCTATCCCAGCAACTTGCTCAGTTCACAGACGCCTTCGATCCATCTCGTTTGCTGTGACCAAAAGGAGCGATTCAAGCACACGTGACGTGGCGTGACCACGCGTGTGTCCAGGACCTTCTGTGCCATTTTCACTGCAGCAGCTCCAGCAAGCAAGTTAGACAAGTCACGTTTTAATTAAAACGACATCATAAAAAACCATTTTAAAGACCCTAACTCTATTTTTAAAACTCTTAATTATGTTTACTTTCTTACCTTTCTGGTTATGAAGTCAAACTTCGTAGTGCACTGCATGCATCTGGGACACTAGAAAGACAGTAAGGCAAAAAGATGTGAAGATTCGTGGTCATTTGGTCCAAAAAGTGTGCGTAAATGCATACAGCATGCAACCCCCCCCCACCCCATTAAGCTGCTTCACTGGCTACTTTATACATTTTTCTCCTTAAACTACTTCATCCCTGTCTCAGCTCCTCATAGAGAATTGTGTACATTAGTACAGCCTACTAAGGGAAACCAGTAGAAGAAAAACAACTGCTTAGGAGAGAATCCAGAATTACTTCAAACTTCCACTGCAAGAACTATGCATTCCGGGCAGAGAATTCCTCTCCTGGGGCACAACTAAAATACAAATTAAAAACAGATTCAAGAGCAATCTAACATGTACGGCGTCTTTCAAAGAACCCTGGTAGTTGTGCAGTGTCAGCTTGATAAAAAAACATTTTTCCTATCAAGTGTTCATGGAATTAAAAAAACAACTGCAGAACTCCCCCCCTTCAAGTGGACTCTTTTGAAGGCTTTGCAAAGATAAGAAATCCACAGAACAGCAGGTAGGCACCCAGGCGTGGGAGGGAAAGTATACAATGGGTACAAGAAGGACTAAAGAGGGAACACTGTGAGAAGAAAAAGAGAACAAGCCAACATGGGTACAAAAATATTTCCTTTCTTTTCTAACAAACCAGGAAAGACTACATTTTACTAGATTCTTATATCTCAGGGCTCTTGCTACATGCCTTAAGGGAGACCATACTGCCACCAATTTTCCAGTTTTGCTTTTCCCAGGGACCCTGTCTCTTGTATCCCATCAAGACAGACGCAGGTAGTCAGCCGTGTTGGTCTGAAGCAGTAGAACAAATCTAGAGTCCAGTGGCACCATTAAGACCAACGAAGGTTTATTCAAGGTATGAGCACGCACAGGAAAGCTCATACCTTGAATAAACCTTTGCTAGTCTTAAAGGTGCCACTGGACTCTAGATATGTTCTCTTGTATGCCATTAAACTAAGATTTTATCAGACATGTTCAAAGCTGCTAAACTCACTACAGAATTAAAATCCCCTGTCGGGTAATGAACAAGTTTGAAACAGATTCAAGTTTGAATTGCAGGCACAAGTGACCTAACAATGACTTGGGTCTCTTCTCTGTCCAGACGTGACCCACTAATCACTTCTACTGCAAAGCCGAAGCACAGTGGAGTTAAAACTGATACTGTCAAAATACCTAAACACAAACACAGGGGTTTTCAGAAGATGCCAGAGTCCGCTGACCATGGGAGATAAATCCTGCATCTGTCAGCATTGTAAACACAAAGCACTTGATAAGGCTGTCTCTGATATCAAGGCTAAACTGCAAAACATTTGCCGAAATGTACACAGTAACTGCAGCATATCCTGAATGACCCCCCTCCCCCCCACTTCAATATTTAGTGCTTTAATCCTGCAGGTCAACAATAAGACAGACAATCAGCAGCAGAATCTAGATCGGTGTTAACTTTCTAAATGAACGGAAACCTTAACCGAAGGCAAAGGCTAGACAAGGGCAGAGGAACTTCAGGCAAAATGGGCCTTCTTTGGGAACGGTGTGCCTTTACCATTCTGCCAGCTAGACAAAACTGAATTTTTTAATTTATTTTTTTGCTCCCCAATGGGGAATTTTTTAATTGCATTTTTATTAAGACTACAAACTATAACAGAAATAAGGGAGGGGACTACATTTAAGGGATAAAGAGAAGATACCCACTACTGACTAAAAACCCAAGAGAGGAGATCATCAAAATAGCTTAAATATACGCTATCTCTTAATCACGCTAGTACCATTATGAATTGAGTTGCATATCATATTATCGCTTTCAAAACGTAAATTTAACTGTTAACAGATAAGACCCCTCAGCATCTAGTTTCAATACTTTCAAAGGCACAATTCAGAGTCCTTCAGCCTTCATTTTCCCTTTCCCTGTCTCTTCCGCAATTTATAAGGACTTTTAGGGGCTGCTGCCCCTTTCTCTGATAGAGAGTCCTCTCCGGAAGATTCTGAGTCCAGCTCGCCACTGGACTTACTGTCCATCCCTTCTTTTTCTTCCTCCTCTGGCTCTCCCAACTGGATTCTCAAAAATTCCCATGCTTTCTGCGCAGAGTCAATCTTCTCTTTCTTGTCCTTGATTTTGAAGTTGACGCATTCTGGAGTTAACCATCTGTATCCAATTGCATTTGTCTGAAGAAAAAGAGCTAGGTCTTTGTATTTCTTCCTCCTTTGTCTTATTTCAAATGGAATGTCTTAAAATCCCGATGGTATCATCTCCAACTTTCACGGGTGATCCAGATGCCGCTTTCAGGATTGCATCCCTCACATGCCTCTTCGAGAATTTTATCACCATTTCCCCAGGCAGATTATTTTTCTTTATATATCCGGAATATGACCTGTAGGCCACATCCATATCGCTCAGCAAAGATTCCGCCTTCATATCCGTCACTGGGGCCAGTATGTCACTCATCATTTCCTTTAGATTTTCTCCCTTAGTCTCTGGAATGCCCTGGAAGCGAAGAATCAAATTAGCCTTTTCCATTTGTAATTGCAGCAACTGTTCTTCTGTGGACACTTGCTTCTTTTCCAGTTTTTGTATCTT